GCACCTTGTTCTTCTATTTTGAACTTCTTGGTGTCAGTGATCAGCTTTCCATCTTTATACCACTTAACATCTGCCTTGGCCTGGGCCACCTCACAGCTGAGAGAGACGTTCTCTGAAGCCACAGCCTTGATGTCCTTCTGGACCTTCTTCTGGTTGACAAATATCTCCTCAACTTCTCTATCTAACAGTGGAAGGAATGAACAAAACATCTTAATTAACTTTCTTTTTAGGACATTTGATCATTTTTATTTAAAACTAAAGTTCTGAGCTTTAAGAAGGTCCAACTGACGGATTATATACCAATTAAGATAGGTCATCCTACATCTAGATGTTTGCTTCTTTGGCACATACCACCCTGGCTTCTGACTGTTGATCAAAACAACATCTAAAATCACAAAATTTAGAAAAATCCAAACAAGGTAATTTTTATTTCCTAGGGTCTGTACTTGTAAGGTACAGCCATCTGTATTTTTGTCATCTTGTTGAAGTTCTCCTTAACATCTGAATAGCAGTACAGGTAGTCCTCAACCTATGACCAGAATTGAGCCCAACATTTCTGTTGCTAACCGAAACAGTTTAAGTGAATTTTGTCCCACTTATGATCTTTCTTGCCACAGTTGTTAAGTGAATCACTGCAGTTGTTAAGTTACGCACCCAATTGTTAAGCGAATCTGACTTCCCCCATTGACTTTGCTTGTCAGGAGGTCACAAAAGGGGATCATGTGACAGCCCAGGACATTGCAACTGTCATAAATACATGTCAATTACCAAGCATCTGAATTTTGATCGCATGACCATGGAGAGACTGTGACAGTTGCAAGTATCAAAAATGGTCATAAGTTTCTTTTTTTAAGTAATGTTGCAACTTTGAACGGTCACTGAATGGACTGCTGTATGTCAAGGACTACCTATATTAACAGTACCACAGGAAAATTAAGATTTTTACCTGTTACAATCACTTTGAAGGCCAGTTTCTGGCCATCTGCTTCACAGGTGTATTGACCTTCATCTTTCCTATCAGCTTGTCGGATAATCAGCCAGCGAGATTTCCCTTCTGTTTCAATCTTGAATTTCTTGCTGGGGGTGATGAGTTTCCCACCCTTGAACCATCTTGCTTCAATCGTGGGCTGTGCCACTTCGCAGCTGAGAAAGGCATTTTCTGAGAGAATAGCTCTGATTTCTTTCTGGACTTTCTCCTTGTCGAAAAAGACCTCTGTAGGCTCTGGGGTGAAGAACAACAGAAAATCAGAGTTGGAAGAGACCCTGGAGTTCTTCCAGTCCTGCTCAAGAAGAGATAAATCACATGAATATGTCAATAAAGACTCAGCTATATGCATGTATGTATCTATGTATGTTTGTATGCACCGGTATTCATCCATCCATCCATCCATCCATCCATTCGTCTTCTGCCTTTATTCTTTTTACAAATAACTTATGGCAGCGAACACGTCCAACACACCTTCCTCCTCCTATTTTCCCCACGACAACAACCATGTGGCATGGGGTGGGCTGAGAAAAAGGGATTCACTCAAGTCACCCAGCTGGCCTAAAGCAGGACTAGAACCCATAATCTCCTGGTGATTGGCCCAAAGTAACCCATCTGACACTCATGGCTAAGGTGGGACTTGAATTCACAGCCTCTTGCTTTCTAGCGCTGTGTGTTAACCACTAGGCCAGTTTTCTCTTATCCATTTTCTTTTCTTGATTTTATCCCTCTTAGAAGTCTCAGTTGACATTCTGCCCTAAAAGGCAATTCTTACAAATTGTGGGGTGTTGATCGGGGAAGTGTGAAGTTTTGACTGATAGAGATAGAGATCTGCAGGTTGTTTCAGCTAATAATACAGCTCAAAATTCTTTTATTTACTGGCATGTTCACTGTTCTGGATACATCCTCCCCAAAAATCCAATTGCCTTGGCTTCTGCATCACTGCTTTGAAACTTGTTAAAGATCTGAGCTTGAAATTCAAAACCACAACAGCATCTTGGCCAGCTGTTTCCATGCAAAGGCTTAGGAAAATAAATGCAGATGATAGTTAATATTACAGACAGTCCACATCTTATAACCGTTCATTTACTGGCCGTTCAAAGTCAAAACAGCACTGCAAAAGGTGACTTAGGACACTTTTTCACACTTACGACCATTGCAGCATTCCCATAGTCACATAAATAAAATTCAGACACCTGGCAACTGGCTCCTATTTATGATGGTTCCAGTGTCTCAGGGTTTTGTGATCCTCTTTTGTGAGAGCAAAGTCAGTGGGGAAGCCATTCACAACCGTGTGACTAGCTTAACTAACAACTGCAAGGATTCTTCTAACAACTGTAGCAAGAAAGTTCATAATAAGGGGCAAAACTCATTTAACAAATGTCTCACTTAGCAACAGCAATGTTGGGCTCAATTCTGCTCCTAAGCTGAGGACTAGCTGTACAGACATATTTCAAAAGAAGGACCGTTTCTTACCTTTGACCTCCACCTGGAAGGTTAGTCGGTCATCCTTTGATTCACAGGTATAAACCCCTTCATCTTCCTTGATAGCGCTTTGGACAATAAGTTTTCGCTGTTTTCCCTGAACGGAAAATGTTACCCTTTGGTCTGGCTTGATGTCCTTCTTCCCCTTTTTCCACAAGACCGCATCAGTAGCCGAGGACACCTCACAAACCAGCTCAAACTTCTCATGGAGGTTGACTGAAATCCCGGGGGCTGACTCGTTGACAAATGTGGCCACTTCATCTAGAAAAGAGGGATGAAATTCAGTGGTCTGGACATCTGATACAAGCTACGATGACATCGAACGTGTCCCAGTCTCGTTGGGCAAAAGGACAGGAAGAGCAAATTGGGTCGTTTGTCCATAGACATTGTGATATGTAATGTCATCATATCCTTTATCTAAATCCAGCCACCCCCAACATAGAGATACAGGGAGTCCTCCACTTACAGCCATTCATTTAGTGACTATTCAAAGTTACTAGGACCTATGATCACGTGATTTACATTCAGATATATGGCAACAGATTCATATTTATGATGGTTGTGGTGTCCTGGGGTCATGCAATCACTTTTTTGCAATCTTTCCACAAGCAAAGTCAATGGGGAAGGCAGATTCACTTTACAATTATGTGACTCACATAACAACCACAGCGATTCACTTAACAAAGGTGGCAAAGAAAGTCATAAAATGGGGTAAAACTTACTTAACAAATATCTCGCTTAGCAACATAAGTTATGGAGTCAATTATGGTCGTTAAGTCAAGGACTACCTATATTTATGAAATGTGATCACCATTTGTAAACTGGTTTCTAATAAACAAAGTCAAATGGGAAACCAGATTTGCTTAACAATCACATGATTCACTTAACAACTGAAATGATATGTTTTAGTGTGGCTGAAAAAGTCAATAAATGAGATGCAACTCACCTAACAACTGTCCTGCTTAACAACAGAAATTTGGGGCTCAAATATGGTTGTAAGTCAAGGACTACCTGTACTTGTTGAATCAATGCCTGAAATAACATATGGCACATCTCGGGGAAACTGGAGAATGGATGTCCTTCGCATAATTTGCCTAACATGATCCTACAAATGATGAGTAGGCGTCCAAATGGCACTGGCTCAATTATTTCATTGTACCAATGACATGACACAAATTGGCACAAAGGGAATAAACTGCATCCCTGAATGGTACATTGAACGTCTACCAACTTAGAAAAATTCAGATATGCTGGTTGTCTTCTTCTTTCCATCTTTCCCAGCATTATGGACTTCTTAAGGAATCTGGGGTTTTTTTTTCCGTTGGTTGAGGAATGCTCCATCAGATTGGTTTTGACTTGGTGACCATCTAGATCTTCTTCAGGTTGATCTGTACCCATCTTCAAGTCTTGCAGGAGGGCATTCATCGCCACCATAATTGAGTCCCTCTACCTTCTGCAGGTCCTTCCCTTGTACTTGTTTATCTTTTCCACTATTATAGTTATCAAAGGATCGTGGTTTTTTTCATTGATTAATGAATTACGTTCCATCAAGTTGGGGTTGACTCTTGGCGACCGTCTAGATGTTTTCCAGGCTGATCTGTATCCACTTTGGCCCTTCATGTTTTCCAATAAGGCAGGGGTGTCAAACTCGCACCATCATGTTATCGTCATGTATCATGGCTTTCCCCCCCTTTATTAAAATGGGGGACATGACGCATTCGACCCATAGGCTGCGAGTTTGACACCCCTGCAATAGGGCATTTATGGCCACCCATAACTGAGTCCATCCACCTTCTATTGGCCCTCCTCTTCTTTTTTTTTCCTTCCACCTTTTCCAGTATTATGGGCTTCTCCAGAGGGTTAGATCTTCATGCTGAATAATTGTGTCATTAAGTTGGTGAAGATTCTCAGGAACCACATTGACAGATCTTCTCTAGAATGATTTGTCTCCAACCTGATCCTTCATGATTTCTAACAGTGCACCCATCACCACCATAACTAAGTTCATCCACCTCACTCCTGGTCATCTTCCTCTTCTCTTTCCCTCTAATAGCATTGTGGACTTCTCAAGGAGCTTGGTGTTTCCATTGATTGATTGACTGATTGATTGACCATCCACTTGGTGTCCAGCCTTAGTGTCCAAATAAAAAGACCTTCTCCAGGAAGATCCTTCTTTAACATGGTTCTTCAGGTCTCCCAGCAGTGCTTCCATAATTGAGTCTCTCAACATTGCTGCCTGTTGTCATTCTTTCTCAGCATTGTCAGCTTGGTGTTTCTTTAACTTGCTTCTTCGGGTCTTCCAACAATGTCTCCATCACCACTATGGCTGAGTCTTTCAATCTTTCTGCTGGTCATCCTCTGCTCTTTCCATCCACCTTCTCCAGCATCGTAGACTTCTCCAGACAACAGAATCTTTCCACAATGTATCCAATGTATGATAATTTGAGTCTCCTTATCTCTTCTACCCCATTCTGACAAAAAAAACCTCAACAAGGTCAGCCACAACTAGACGACAGAAGCACCACTCCTGTGCACAACACACATATAAAAGGAGTGGAACTTCAGACCCACAGTTTTTTGACTTTTTATCTTCTCCGTGGACATCCCTTCCCTATCCTTGCCAAACTGACATGTTGGTTTTGTCTCCCAAACTCACGTTTGCCCATAATTATCTCTTAAGTTAGGAATTTACAGTTTGATTTCAGTTTCCTAAAGATCTCCTAAAATTAAGATCTGAAGATCATGGTAGAAAGAAAGAAAGAAAGAAAGAAAGAAAGAAAGAAAGAAAGAAAGAAAGAAAGAAAGAAAGAAAGAAAGAAATATAATTGCAAATACCTTTCAAGGTGATTCTTCCAATGCTTTCGATATCCTTGGCTACAAATTTCACCTCTGCCTCCTTGAAAGCACTGGTGACCCTCTTAATGATTAAACTGTGGCTTGCTTTGGTTCTTGTAATTATGTATTTGTCACTGTTCTGGACAAGGTTGCCATTGATGTACCATGAGCCAGGACTAGGGGTGGTGAGGTCCACAGTGAAAGTTGCATCTCTCCCTGGTGCGACTTCAACATTTCTCATAGGGGTTTTCACTGCCAGGGTAGGTTCTGTGGGATATAACGAGGACGAGCAAAGATTAACATAATTTTTTTCTCAATAGAAGAGAATATTTGTGGCTCAGGGTTGAACTGTGGGGTACTTGGTACTTCTGAGGTTGATAGTTACCTTCCAGACTTTAGGGAGGAGGAGGAGGAGGAGGAGGAGGAGGAGGAGGAGGAGGAGGAGG